AACTTTAATAATATGTTCGTAAATAAAAGAAATCAATTGGAAAACACATTTAAAAAATAATATGTATTTCGACATCTGCCTTATTGCAGATGGTAAGAATATTCTTTTACGAGTATTTTATAAATATATATATATATAAATAAGTCTATATATACATGAGTTGACGTGTCGTTTAAAATGTTTACAAAAGGTACCAAAAAAAACGTAAATTTGCATTTTCCAAGTACACTCAATCTTTAATCTTTGGAAGTAATGAAACTTCAGCGCCCTTTCCTTGTTGATTTTTATCTTTAATATCAGGCGGCCTTAACCTCTTTCACTCGTAAACATCGTGACCTGCATTCGAGATAGATGGATAAACTTTTTCATCAAATGCAATGCTAATCAACAAGCGTGTAGACAATACTAATAACTCCAAACTGTGCCCAAAAATACTGACGAGCGCCTTATTCCACCGTGTCGTAACATTAATGTAATAATGTGCATACCCACGTTACACAGAATGCTCACTGCGCTCTATGTAAAGGATTACATGAACTTTAAGGTTGAAAACGGTTTCTGATCTTTTCAGCGTTATTCTGAATTTTGGACGTTGTTTCTTACAGGAATAACTAGCTTCCTGCTGCACAAATAAATCTGTTAAAATATAAAATTCTTTTTGATTCTCTCATCTGCTGGTTTTTTTTATTTTTGTTGTCAAACATGAAAATTAGGAAAATCTACTCGTGCATCAACAAATAATGACCCTCTCTCTCTCTCTCTCTCTCTCTCTCTCTCTCTCTCTCTCTCTCTCTCACTCTCTCTCTCTCTTTCATAATGTGCTTTTTTCATGGCAAATCAGTATCAGTTGGGATACTTCGTTCAAACTAGATTTCGGTCCCCATGCAGCTCTAAAAGTAGCCTAACTTTGTATAGAATATTTGTTCTATTTTTGTAGAACCAACAATAAGAGGGGGCTCTTGTAGCCTAGATGTTACGGTGTTCGCCTCTCATTCAAAGGTCCCGGGTTCGAATCCGGGCAGCGACCTAACAAATTTCTTCTCTAAAATTATCTCCTTTCACCTTCTTTCCGGCTCTCTTGCAATGTTCTATCGTCTGCTTTCGTCTCCATTTTCTGCCCACACCCCTAACCTCCTTTGTTTGCCCCCCCCCCCCCCCCGACTCTGGGCTCCTGACTCTTTCTGCAGCCTTTCAACTGCTACTCCTTGATTCCTTCTTACTGCAGTCTTTCAGCTACACCTAGCCTTCTCAGACAAAAGGCGAAAAT